TACCATTCTACTCTCTGGTTCTAAGAGTCTGACTCTTTTAGATTCCACATATAAATGATTTTGTATTTTTCTTTCTCTGTCTGACTTATTTCACTCAGCATAATGCCCTCCAGGTTAGTCCATGTTGTTGCAGATGGTAGGATTTCCTTCTTTTTATGGCTGAATGATGTTTTATTGTGTGTGTATGTATATATTCACATTTTCTTTATCCATTTTTCCATTGACAGTCATTTAAGTTGTTTCAGTATCTTGGCTATTGTGAATAATGCTACAATGAACATGGGATACCAATATCTTCAAGATACTGATTTCATTTTCTTTGGATATATATTCAAAAGTGGGATTGCTGGGTCACATGGTAGGTCTAGTTTTTATTTTTGAAGACCCTCCATGCTATTTTCCATAGTGGCTGTGCCGCAGTCAGTAGTTCTAAATGTGTTATCAGACATCATATTCTGCTATCAGCAGGCACCTAGGTAGTAGCCTTGTTCCTGCTTCCCAAACAGCCCTGCCATGAATATCTTCACAGTGTCCTGTAAAGGACCAGTGAGAGAATTTCTCTGGTATGTATACTCAGAAGTAGGATTTCAGGGACCCTGGCATATATGCATTATTAAGTCCACTAAGTACCTTGCAAAATGGCTATTCCACTTATACTCCCCTCAGCAGTGCATATGGTTCTCATTTTCCCCCACATCCTTGCCAGCACTTGACTTACACTCTAATTTTTTTCAATCAGATGGGTGTAAAGAGATGTTTTAAATTGGGTTTCTTTCATTACTAGCGATTATAAACATGTCTTCATATGCACATTAGACCCCAGGGATTCCTTTGTGAACTGCCTGTTTATATCCTTTGCTATCTATCGAATAGGTTTCCCATGTGTTTCTTTGTCTCTAGGAGCCTCCTTCGCTGGATGTCTTCCATTTGTCCCTTTCACATCCGGTGGTTTTGGAGGCAGAGGTGTTTGATTGCATCAGTTGCTGCCTTTGCCATCTGGCTTCCGGAGCTAGCAGGAAATAAGAGGGAGAAAGAAGAGCAAAGGGAGAACACTGACTCCCCCAACTCCCACCCTGTAGAGTAGCTAGTTGTGGGCAACTCGCTTCCTATCAATCACAACAGACTGATAAAGTCACAGCTCCTGTCAGGAGGCCCTCTCCACAGAGCTTTCTCTCTTCCTGGGTTCCTGGAGGTGCTAATGGCTCTCTGCTATGGGACTACCTGGGTCCCTGCCCTATTTCTTGTGGCTTCCCTAATCCTACTCACACCTTTGTAAATCATCCCTTTATTAAAACATCTTCCAATTACCCATTTCATGTATGCCATCTGTTTCTTGCTGGGAGCTTAACTGATACATTGTTATTGAGCTGAAATTTTCATTTTCATGCAGTTGATTTTACCAGTTTTGTTGTTGTTGTTGTAATGTGCTTTGGATACCTTGCATGTAAGTGAAAATATTCTCTTTCCTTCTTTTTTTTCCTATTACTTTTGTAATTTTACCTTGATATTTAAGTCTTGACTCTATCTAGTATCCACCTTTGTATGTCATGTTAGGCATGGATTTTTTTTCATATGAAGAGCCAGTTTTCCCAATAATGCCTGTCCTCTACCAATTTGAGGTGCCCCTTTATTAGGTATGAAGTTCTCGTGTATGCATAGTTCTGTCTCTGATCTCCTTATTCCATACCATTGGTCCATTTTTCTGTTATTGTATAACCCCATACCATTTTTATGAATATGGCTTTGCAATATGTGTTAATGTCTTTTTTCCTTTTCTCTCGATTTTTGCTTTTTTTGCAAATTGACTTTTATTTTTCTATTTACATTTTTTAAAAAGATGAAGTTACTTTTAAAAATTCAACTGAAATTTGTATTTTATTGCATTGACTTTATGTATTAATTTGGAAAGAATTTTAACTTTTTTCTTACGTATTCTTTATACATTAAAGTGTTGATAGCTGCCTGACATACCTGCAGAAGCCTCTCATTAAGTCTAATTGTTGATGGTGTTGATTTTCTGTGTAGATGACTATATCGCTTTATCCCTTCCTTTCCAAGCCTTACAACTCTGAGGCCTTTTCCTGTCTGGTGCAGTTTCACCAGGTTGCCCAGGATAATATTAAACAGCAGCAATAAAAACAGTGTGGCATACACCTCTAATTGACCTCAATATCCATTCTCCCCTCTTCTCTACACCAGGATTCACGGACACTTTCTGTAAAGGCTCAGAGAGCAAATATTTGCCAGCTTTGTTGCAACTACTGAATGCTGTTTATATCATGAAAGCAGTCACAAGTAATATGTAAACAAATAAGCATGGCTCTCTTCCAATAAAATTTTATTTACAAAAAAAGTGAGAGCTATAGTTTGCTGACTCCTGCTCTACATTAGTAGAATACCCTGGTAGTTAGCTGAAATTGGCCATCTACAGTAGAGTACACTATTCAGCCACATTTACAGCTAAATGTGGCCGTGGGACTAGTTCTGATCAGAGATGTAAGCAAAGTGCATACAACTTCCAGAAATGTCAAGAGAAGGGAGACGGGGGAAATGTGCCATTCTCCTCTTTTTTTTTCTCTTCTTTCTCTTGCCTGAAATGTGTCATGGATGGGCAGACATCTTGGAACATATGATAGAATGCAAACATTGAAAATAGTAGGGCAACAAAATAGAAGCAGCCGAAGTCGAAAAAGATTTTATCATAAATAGGAGTTGAACTTTTGCCAAGTGTTTTTCTTCATTGGGTGATTTTTTTCTCTTATACACCATTAATTTAGTCTTCTGTACTCTCTAAGTCTATTTAATTAATAGATGTTTTGTGATGTTAAACCATCTTTGAATTCCTAGCATATATGCTACTTGAACACACCTCTTTTAATATACCATTTGATTGGCTAATATTTTCTATAGGAATTTTACATTTCTAGTCATTGTAGTGAAAATTATGTTTGAGTTAAAATTTGCTTTTATGGCCAAGTATTTGTTCAATTTTTTGAAAATGTCTCAATGTACTTGGAAACAATGAGTATTCTGTAGTTAATGAGTGAAGTGTACTAAATATGTCTGTTGGATCACAATAGTACAACCTGGGGTTCAAAACATCAGTTTCCTTAGTCTTTTTTGGTCTGCTTGATCTATCACTGAGAGAGATGTATTACAATCTCCTACTATGAATATAGATTTGTCTATTTTTTCTTGTTCTTCCAAATTTTTCATTTTCATATATTTCATGGCTATGTTATTTGGTGCATATATATTTAATACTGGTGTATCCGGTCGAATTAAACTTTTTATCATTAGGAAGCGACCCTCTTTATCTCTGATAATGCTTTTTATTATAAATTGTAATTTTATGATAATTATTTTGGTTAAAATTTGCCTAATATATCTTTTTCATGCTTTGGCTTTCGACCTCTCTGTTTTAGATGTATCTCTTAGGCATATGGTAGGACTTTATTTTTTATTCTGTCTGGAAGTTCTTGTCTTTTAACAAGATAATTTAGTCTTTTGCATTTAATATAACCAGCAACATATTTGGATTCATAACTAACCCTTTATTTTGTGCTTTTTCTTATCTACCTGTTCTGGTTTTTTTTTTTCCTCTCTCTTTTCCCATCTTCCTTTAGATTAACTTTTTTTCTTCATTTTTCCCCTTAATAAGTTTGGAAATTACAAGCTCTGTTTCTAAGGGATTAACCCAAAAATTACAACAATGTTGGGGGAAACACTGTCTTTACTGTTACAAATATGGAAGTATTACATAATTATATCCTCTATATCTGTACTTCTTTAAAGTCATATATCTGTGTTTCTTTCTTCTCTTTCATATTTGTTTATTTTATTCACCATTTACAAGAATCAGAATTTTCTTTTATTGGTTGTACCTACATTTTTATATTCCAGTTTATTTATTTTTGATTTTTAAAAAATAAATTCCTTTACTCATTTTGGAGGGTTTATTTTGTTATTGTTTTTCAAGTTTCTTGAGTTAAAACTTAGCTTATTTCAATCCTGTCTTTTAATGAATTTGCTAAAGTCTTATACATTTCCTCCTGGGAACCACTTTAGACCATCCACAACCTCAGTGTGTATACTTTCTTTGTTCATTTCTAATTCACTTGACTTTGATTTTCTCTTAAAGTTATCTGGAAAGATGGTGAGAAATATATATATATATAT